GTATGTAAGAAAACATATACTGACTTTCAATACACGTCGTAAATTCGGAATAGATTATAATAAAAATAAAATTTCCAGACAACATAAAGTTTTAAAATCGACGCATAAGACGTCTTTTTTTAGTCCTTTTAGACTTTTAGATAGTTTTCATGGAACTATCTGAAAGACATCTTAAAGACGTCTTATGCTTCAAGTTTAGACTTATATTGTTATAAATATATTTAAAAGTAAAACTTTTTGTTTTTTAATTTAAACTGCGTATCACTAATCACGCATGATTCCCATTACCTTCTTATATTGTTATTGTATTTTTAATATCGAGAATCTTATAGGTTACAATTTACTATTGTATATCGAGATTGTATACTATTTAATATCGAGAATCTTATATCTATTACAATTTACTATTGTTAATAAAAACTGATTTATGTAATTAATTTTATATGCATTTAGTTTACCACATCTTTAACATGATTAGTATTGTTTTACTGCCAATTGCGGTGTGCATTTTTAAAGACGGCATACGCATAAACGAGTCTCAGCTAAGACAAGTGATACAGATGATTTTACCTAAACACTTCGTTGGAAAAGAAAGCTATCTCTATCTGATTTTCCTACACTCGGGCGCAGCAGCTTGTATAGGTGGAATAGTGTTGGTGTCAACACTAATGATGTGCGTAACATACACCAAACATGCCTGTGGAATATTCAGAATTGCCAGGTAAAGAAAGAAATATATGTATATACAAGAACAAATGCATTAGTCTTCTTTGTCATCTTTCTTCTTGTTGTCATCTAAAAAAAATTTATATACATAAAATGAGATCAATAGTAAAATTATAATACTTTAATGATTCTGAAAATTATTAAACTTTGCTTGCAGAGTTAAAATTATTCTATTGTATTAAAATTTTTGTTATTAATACAATGAAAAAATTCTCGGGAAAATTACGATTTTTCAAAGAAATTGAATTTTATTTTGAAATATATTGACCTACTAAAACTCTTTAAAAAAAAAAGAAAATGATTATGCCAAGTACAAAAAAGTATTGTACGTTACATTCTAAATCAAAAATATTATTTTAACAAATAAAAATTGTCCAAAAACAAATATGAAATCATACAAGTTGCTAAGTATTTGATTAGACATAGAAACAAAAATATTTTTTTAAACCGTTTAACCGTTATATACATCTTATCAATTAAATATTAATGCAATCCGGGCACGCCAAGTTTTTGCTTCACTGTGATCCCATTGGTCATTTTAGTCACTAGTTCAGTCCAATTTCTAAATATTAATTAATTTTCATTAACTATTATCAAATATTATCATTAATTTATTATAAAAGATATCGCGTTAAACATTCCTATGTCCATGCGGTAAGAACACATTATGTTTTCGAACGGCGGGCGTAACCTCATATAAGAACGCATCCGACGGACAGTCGCTTTGAGCGTTGTGAATGGGGCTTGGCGGACAGTTTGAACATGACGACGACGAAGACTGGAATCGCCAAAGTGGCAAAAAGTAGCATTTTTAGAGACTCGATTTCGAGATCTCGGGATTGACTGCACCGATTTCATTCGGACTGGTCTCAATCGAAAGCTCGTATCGACATTATATAATGAAAGTGTCATTAGATTTTTTATTAGAACTTTCATTTCCGAGATATTAAAATTGGAAAATCTGACGAGGCAAAACTTCGAGATAAAGCTAGCGGTAGCGCCTCGAGACAATGCCAGTGCCGTATACTAATAGTCGTCACTCTACTTTTATATACTTGGCGTCGCGCCGCTACCGCGTAGCTTGATATATCTTTATAGAAAATGCATCTACTAACAAAATCTGTTTTGGTAGTAGAATCATTATTGTTCAGTTCATAAAATAATTTACAAATAAGAGTTATTTTTAACGAATTAACTTTTTACAAGAGCAGACTTATAACATTTATGGTATGTTAGTAAATTGATTTTATCCATAATTTTTATAAATATAAGTAATGAAATTCTTTATAGCTACCGTTTGGAAAATGCAATAACGGTAAATACACTACAAAATTTTAACTTGAAAAGCGAGATATTGATATCTAAGGAAATAATTCGAGCCGTAGATATTCATCGAAAAGCTATCAAGTTAGTATTTATCTAATATTAGTTACACAAATACATGAAATAATATTTTCTTTTTGTTGAAGGTTTACCGCGCTTTTCTTTTCTGGCTTCGAACAATCACGTTTCGTCTTAATAATATTTACCGTACTTACTTTGAGCCTTAATCTTTATGGAGTTAGTTTATCTGACATCATATATACATCAGAAAAAACATTTTTTATACATATTTTTTAGATAAGTAGTGTTCAAATTGAAAAGAATTTCTTATATTCTCGTATTAATATAAAATGATTAATTATAAGACAAAATATTAATTACAATGATGCATTTTTTAGATTTCAGTGACTATATCGCTTGAAGAGTTTACTGAAGAATTTTTTTTGCATTGTATGGTTGTAGGCGCCCTTTTTATATATTTATTTTTAATAAATTATGCTGGACAAGAATTTATAGATCATAATGATCACATATTTTCCACCGCGTAAGAGATATCATATGTATTCACGAATATATGTCAGTAGATCTTTTACAAATTTCGCATAATGAAGACTAGGACAATTTATAATTATATTACATATTAGAGTAGCATGCGATAAAAATTACTACTTTATCTTCAGTTACCGATTTGTTACCTAATCCTTACTTTGTAGGTACAACATTCAATGGTATATAGCACCATTACACGTACAGAAGTTAATATTATTTCTCTTGCAAAAAGGTATGAAAACCGACAGCCTCCAGTTTGGCGTATTGTTTTCGCTGTCTCTAGAATTGTTTGCCTCGGTAAAAATTGTTATATATTTTATTACACCGCATAGCATACAATGTGCGTGCGTGTGCATGTACGTGCGTGCGGGCGTGCACGCGCGTGCACGTATGCGTGTTTTTAATATAAAGCACATACTCGTGGTATAAGCTGTATATATTTAATTTTAGCTAACGAAGGCATCAATATCCTATTTTACTGTTGTATGTTCTATGCAATAGTGATGCAAAAATTTATCATCCGACGGTAGATTACAATTACGATCGAGTAGGTGAGTGTAAAAATAATTTTGTTTTGTTTAACTATTGAATGAAATTAAATCAAAGAAGTAACATTTCTTCTTTTTTAAATTATAACCTGTACTATCGGTAACGTAAGTAGAGAAAAGTAGTTGAATTTCATGTTGAATTGCTTGCACCTACGAAGTAGGTTTTTCACCTTTGAATAAAATTAATTTTAATCAAAAACTTTAAACGTCTTTTTCTTGTTTAAAGAAATAGAATATTAGAGTTATATAATGGTTACTTGTGGAGAAAATAATACATACATACCGTTAACAACCGGATATTACTTTGTGTTGCTCGTGTTGCTGTTTAGATATCTTTACAAACTCATGATGGCTTAAGATAATATATTCCTATTTATTTTTTACATTAAAGCAAATCTCACGTTATGTGATATTACAAAGACTGCAATAGGTAAACGTGTAATTATACACACCCTCGCACGCGCGAAGTACACATACGCACACACATGCTCCAAAAAAAACACACATATTTTTTTTCATTGGCGGACGCAAAGTTTTTGAGTAATTTAAATAGCACAATGCGTAAAGAACTGTATAGTTTTATAATTCTATAGTTCTTTATTTTAGCGCTTTATATGTTACTACACATACTGGTATTTAGCATATAGCTAACACGTCTTCAATGCGTAAGATTGTCGTGCTTCATGCCGTAGATATTCATCACAAAGAGCTATCAAGTTAGTATTTATCTAATTAGAAACACATGTAATAATAAATTTTTTTATTAAAGGCGCCGCTCTGCACGCTTACGTTTTCCAGTTTTCAGAGATTGCTATTTTTTTGACAGAAATTAGTTTGTGATTTGTTTTAAATATCATTTATAAAGAGAGTTATTTTTACATTATTAGACATATTCAAAGATGACTATTTTATAAGACTCAAAATTGTAACTTAAATAATTGTAATTGCAACTCAAATTTTGTTAACATTTAATTAACTTGATTTATTACTTTTATTACTGCAAAAATATGAGTTATTCCTTAAAAGTTGATTTGGCTATATTTAATTAATTAAATATTTTTAGTATTTTATATCTTTTTCTGAAATTTATAACGTGGCTAAAAAATAACGTTAAGTCCAGTAATGATATTATAGATAACACAATTCCTGGAAGAGTTTTATCGGTATCTGTGACAAATTAGAAGATAGATAAGAATGAAACAGCTGTCATAGATCACAGAAATGTGGAAACAACGATACCATACTTGCATTTAAGAATATTTAGTATATGTTGCAAAGTGGAGTAAATTAGAATTGTAGTTAAAATTAAATATATTTATTTAACTCTTCTCTTCTTTTTGTGTTAAATTTATTTAATCACTCTATGAACTTATTCTGAATTATGTCCATTATAAAATGCAAAACGATAAATATATCTTTACACAGTCAATCTCAAATAACTTCTGACTGATCTTGATGTTGACTTTGATTTTCAAGGAGACCATTGATCTTTGGTTGTTGTTTATCAAATTGTTATTAACAAAAAGTTAACAATATGAAGGTATGTTAAACTCCATATTTTGAATTTTACTTATACAAATATCACATTATTTGCTTATTTGTTTATTTTAGTGAATGCTTAAACGGTGAAAGGGCAAAACCACATAATTATGAACTCTGTCCGCACTGTAAGTAGGAAGTGGGTCTCGCTTCGCGTTGTAATCTATACGCATTGATGCAGTGGGTTCGCCCTCCCTTTTTAAGAGGCTCCATCATCGAAAAACTAGACGAATAGGTTTGAATTGGAACCTCGCTTCGCGTGGAAAATTGTTAATCTATGTGGAACTTTGTTTCATATGAATTTATAACTTTTTATGCGAAGTGAAATTCCAATCCAAATCTATTTGTCTAGTCTTTTTCGATGATGGAGCCTCCGTAGAGGGAGGCGAAATTCATTGCGTTTACGCATACACTTTGTTGACTTTGTATATTTATGTAAATGTTTGCGCGATTAAACTTATTTTGTTAATAACTTTTTAACAACGAATAACGGGAAAAGTTAATGATTTTGAAGGTCAAGATCAACATCAAGTAAGTCATTTAGGATTAATTATTTAAACTGAAATATTTACTATGTTTTTTCTTTTATATTGATAACATGGTTCAACAAAATTCTGTCTAAAGTGCTAAAGTACATATGTCTATACATATATCTTGAAGATTTTGTCGAGTTTTTGTCAGAATTTGCATGTTTTGGATTCTGAATAAATGAGGATAAAATGGCATTTTTTTGTCATTTTCAAAATTTTTTATTACAATAAAATTTTTTTCTAAAAATTAAGTTAACGGTATCTAAAAGTACAATTCTCAAGAGCTTAGAAATAAATTTAAATTTTTGATCACGCATTTGATTTTCATCAAGTTATAACTGCTTAAATTTCAGATATAGCTTTTTGTGTAATACATAGTAAGCAAAAAAACATATTTAAATCAATACATATTTAAATCTATCGCAGCAAATAAATAATTAGAATTAGAATTTAGTTGTAAAGATTAGTTAGGTAATACAAATTTCGAATTTACACGATATTCGAATTACACAGCATTATGTGCACAAAAATTAATATTGTTTATGTTAAAAAAATATAATCTGCACCTAGTCAGAGTATTTTTATTGTCTTTAGAATTTCTTGTCACGATAAAAGTTGTATATTACATGTAGCATTTTATGAATATTTATTTAAATCGCGATATAGACAGAATCGCATAAAATATATTCTAATTGATAAAGGCATTGATATCTTATTTCACATTATTTTGTGTGTTTCATGCAACAGTGATGAAAAAATTTATCAACCAATAGTGATTATTATTTTTAACGTAATACGTAGGTAAATTAAAAAATAAATTTATTCTGTTGTTTAATTTGATTTTTTTTAAGTTACTGTTGCGTAGCAGATGTTGCTACTATCCACGATAACCCCCTGGCAGAATGTTTTGGAGGAACGTGGTCGAAGAAATGAATATTTTCTTCTATATTGAGACTTTTATTTGCTCTCAGAGGCCGGTCGTACGGATTTCTTGTACAGAATAATGTAGCTGAATATGTCTTGTGTAGTTGCGTGCTTGCTATTGCGAATACTTGAGCGAAACGAAAAATATCTCGCACTTGTAACAATATCGTGTCGCGTAGCTATTACTGCGATCACGATCGATCTTGTTCTGAAAAATCGTTAGCGATGTCGATAAAGCATCGTACGCGCGGAGGGGACCGACGAGGCTCGAAATTTGCCGAATACAACGGCACGGACGCCTCGCGGAAAATTCCTACGCCTGGGCGCGCAAGTCCCTTCGCGGAAAATAAAATATGATGTGACATGATTGAGAAGCATATCGAACAGTTACTAATGACATAATAATACTTATTTTTAAAATTGCAGTGTGCAAATAATGCACACTGGTTACAAGTTTATAAGTATATAGAGAAGTACCCAAGTAACAAGAGACGTCAAGTGATGTCTTAACGTCTTAATGACGTCTCTAACGTCAATAAGACGTCACTTGACGTCAGCTTGCTACTTGGGTATTAATTGGTTTACACATCGATTTTGCCCGTATCATACTAACAATTGATAATTGCGTTCCCATTTGTATTTGAATCTCTGGCTGACTAATTAGAAAAGAGCTGTTGGCCAGTGATGAAAACGCAATCGTCAATCGTATACGGGTATTGGACTATGTTCATCAATTGTGAAACATTTTTTATTCTTAAATAATATTAATTTTATTAAAAAATACTTTAAATGTTTCCACGTTAAGATAATTAGTACAGTATTCACACAAATTTTGCACGAAGTAATACATATTACTTCCATTGGTATTACTCTGCGTCCGCACTAATTATTGTATATGTCCATTGTACTGTTTAGGTAGTTGAATCACTAACTTAACTATGATTATTTTTGTCCGATAATCGATGTTTATATACTTTTTGTTAAAAAAGTATTTTGTTTAAAAATTACGTTTTTACATAAGATGTTATATGTCCAATAAGTCACTTTTTTATATAATACAATCGCAAAGTTTTTTAGGCAAATAGCTTTTGCATTTTTAAAATAACTCTAAGACTTGGATTTTGCAATGCTTTACACTTTAACTGCGATAATTCTTTAGTTGATATAATTTGACAATAATTCGACAATAGTAAGACCGAAGAATCAACGTTACTCTTAAAAGAGAAAAGTATTGCGCGACTGTCCACGATGAAATGAAGTGTGCGTGAACACAGCACAATGAGAAATGACAACTGCGTCTGCGCGCATGTCGATCGAAAAGTTTCATGCGCGCATGTTTTTTTTGTGGGAAACAACATTCGCGCGTCGGTTGAATTTCCCTCGACGTTAAAACGATCGATCGCTTAATCGTTCGCCAATTTCTAAATAAATGCAGTTATGTTACGAGCGAGCCGATCTCGTGACGTATTTTACGACGGTATTAAGAAGATATATAAACAATTTAAGAACTTTTATGCTAGAAAAATGCAAATTTAAATATAAAATATTGATATCTCAAAAGAGAGAAAGGAATATGTAAAATGTTGTCGATTATTTCGTGTGTCAGTCAACGCGTATTGTTTCTGGCACAGTGATGATTCGTAACACGAGTTGGAATTTTAGATATCATCGAATTCTTTGTCTCATGCTGGGTTTATGGCCTTATCAACAATCCAATTTTGTTCAAATTCAATTAATGTTACTTTTTGGTATCTTAATCAGCTTTATCATATTCCAGGTAAATTATATTTGTTATCGTGTTTGTAAATATATTATTATTTTTTAATATATTATTTTTACATTTCAATTCTTGTAATACAATGTAACATGCGATATATTCTTTAATAATATAAATTAATATAGATAATTTATTATTAAGAATACGTTATATGTATAACGAATGTATAATACTTTTGAACAAAATTACTGTTTCAAATCGTTGGATATAAATTTAAAAGTGATTAAGAATTTAGAGGAATGCTGGTTCCGGACTGGAGTCAGTCTTCCGGAAAAGAAATAAGTTTACGAACTTATACTGCTTTATTCTTGTTGCTTAAATATATAGTGACTTGCTTCGCTATTTTTCGCATGACTTATGTGAGTAGCTTATAATGATGACGATAAATTCTTAGTGTACATTCGCGATCGATGTTACCACCTTGGAAGATCAACGAATACTGAGAGTATGAATATTTGAATTCTTAATAAACATGGAACATCACATAATAGGAATGTAAGGTCGTTTGACGATTCGAGTCTTCGACGGACATTGTGTTGTTTGTATTATAACACATGTAATTGGCTAGGTCCTGTAGCAAATTTTATAATTAGCGGAGGTAATCGGAGCGTTCTGTAACATTAAGTAACTTTGAAAGAGATCGATACGATTTTCAACGAAATATTTTAAAACCTTTAAATTTTTAAAATTAACTTTTAAATTTTTTTAAACGATTTTTTATTTTTTTAACAATTTTTCAAATTTTATGCAAATATTTTTTTAATTTACTTAAAAATCGAAACTTATATTAATTTTGCGCGATTTCTTACATTTGAAAATATTATAATACTTAAGAGGATGCTAAAGCCGTCTGTTTTATCGACAAAAATACTATTTTTGTTGGATACAAAATACTTTGTATTAATCGCATAGAATAAAATTTTCTTTTCCACGATTAAAACACACATGCTAATGCATCTGGCTCTGGTGTGTTTTGTACCAAAAACAGGAAAAAATTAAGAAATTACAGATTTCGTTATTCATTTTAACCTCATCAACATGGCGACTAATACTATCAATTTACCAAAACGTTTACTTCGTGAAAAAGTTAGGCAGGTTATATGCTCGAAATGAAGGCAGAGATCGGAAG